GGAGGCGGCGAGGAAGAGCGAATTGGAGTAGCCTGTGGGACGCCTAGCCGCCAAAGAGTCTGGCAACGAGAGCAAACGGGCGCCGCGACGTCGCCCAGTTTCCTTTCTCTCTATATGCACGTATACGTACACGTATCTATTACACATGTACGTTACACACACAATTGCTCGAAAAACTCTTGCATCGGGTCTCATCGATTGCTTTATAATTTGCATTCATGTCGATTTTAATTTAGCGTTCGTACAGAATAAATCATGAAATATGTCCACTAGATATATTGATTAGTATCAATTTAAAAACTAGTTTCCTTATTAAATAAAAACGATAAAAATTGTCACGTCATTAATTTCTTGTTTTTTATTACTTTTTTTTTATACTAACAAATAAATTATGTTGGCATAAATTTATTTTCCTTGAAACACAAGAGACATACGTAAATGCAAACAGTGCTAGTTGATTCATGTATAAATATTTATAGTACATGTGTAACGTATTACTATTCTTACGTTCTCTATGTACTCTATTAATATTTATTTTAATCATAAGATGTGCGGCATTACCGCTGGTTTTATTATTATATGTGTGTTCAGTATAGTGTGCAGAGTGTATGTCGTGAATGTATAATTATTATCGAAGAGACGTTGCTGAGATGATGCGTTTCGCGTGACGCGAGCGTGGCCAAACACGCCTCGGCTACGAGGTCACGGTGTCGCAATGTACCCTGTGCTATTTTTCGGACTCATCTTCCTCCCTCCCAACCTCGAATCGTCACTACGTTACGTTCCTATAAACTCCTACTGAAATCGATTTTTGCTCCCATTCTTCCCTAGTTGTTTTCCAAGCAGAAAACTTTTACACAGACTGGCAGAAATATCAGTGTTCTATATACCGAATCTTCGTACGGTTTTAAATATTTAAAAACCGAATGATAGATTGATACTTTTTAACATTTATTATAACTATACTGAAGATTTTTATACATTCACAAGTATGTCCAGTTTTGAATGCAATCATTCGATAATGAGACGAAAGTTAAATATGCACATGATTATTCAACAAGAGAGACAAGAATGTCTGCGAATCTCATTTAATATCGAAAACTCGTTTTTTCGGGAACATAAATCTTCGATTTTATATCGCGGACCAGATTTTTACTCGCGCATTTTTCCTCCCCGTCGTTGACCTTAATTTCTTTCACAATTTCATCGCAGTATCTGTATCATTTACGTCGCGAATAACTGTACGGTATTTATTTCTGTAGCCAGCATTACTCTTCTCTTTCGCAAAAAAAAAAAAGAATAAAGTCGACGCGGTAACAGATACTTCGTTTATCTCGTGTCTCTTCATTCCTTTTCCATTTAAAAATGCGCATGAATAATTAACAATATTTCGTGTCACAAATGTTTGAATACAAATAAGTTACTTCCTGAAGTCTGAGAACAATGTAACCGATTATTGACGTTGTCAAACGTACGAATACGCTGTCCGTCTGCTTATTTCATCTGAATAAATGTCACAACTAACAAAAATAAATCGTTTGCGACACGTCGCGGGTACCTGTTGCCAGATTTGCAAATTTTACCGGTACAGCGAAGCGAACAATTATATCGTTTTACAAGCGCGTAAATTATGCCAGCCTCTTAACAATGTCGGTGCAGCAAAGTCCGCGGGATATTTATTTTCACAAATAAAATCTGTTGTACGAATAACCGCGCATAGTTATGTGACCTGTACGTCTTGGATTAAACAGCACACGTCATACCGATTCTTTTCATCGCAGCACTCGATCAGGTTTCCGTCTCGCGACATTTCATTAAGAACATTATACGATAAGGAATCGCACGCAACCTGAGTCACACGCAGCGTTTGTAATGCCCTCGTTTGATAAACAACTACGTACGTGTCACGGCGGGCGTTGAATTTTTTTTTCAGCTCGTTAAACGTGTTTAAACTCGAAGCACAACGAGCGGCTCTCTTTATTCGTAACGTTTGTGTAGATTGGAAATCATCGTGGTCAACAGGCGTACGTGATAAATGTTCCGCTGTTACTTGTTTAACCATTTCTCTCTTTGGATCGATCGTGATTTTTTGACGTTCAAATATATTTTTATTTTGAAAATGTCACAGTGATTCATTCATGAAAGTCTGATATTTAATCATTTTCAGATCTGCTTTCTGTTTGTCTCTATTTAATCATATCTTAAAACAGATAATCTGATATAAACTGCGATAAAACTTGGACGATCTGCGACGGACGTGGGGAATTTACTGTCTTCTAAGATTTTTTGAACGGCTTTATTTAGGTACGACACTGGTGTAAAGACGAAAAAGAGCAGATCAACCCTTAAAAACGTAGCAAGTACCTCTGCTCGCTGGTCCGTTATTCCGTTTTTTGTTCCCAACGAGCAATTCTACTGACAAACGAGCGAGCGAACGAGCGAACCTTAAAACGCTTAACTTTCATTTCGCGAAGTTTAAAAAGTTTCGTGGCAGATAGACGGGCCGCCGAATGAAAACGGTTCTCGTTAAAATACTTCGCCGTGTGTGTCTTCTCGGTTTCTGCTAGTCATCTTTTTCAATAGCGAACTCCACTGATACTTCTACGTATGCGACGTTCCTGCGGTTAATTAATCCACTGACGATTAAACGACGTAACAATGCGGCTTTATTGGATTCTTAAATTCTCGCGAAATTGTTTGCTTCTCATAGAAGTGGATAGTAAAGAAAAACAGACAATTGCTTTCATGAACAGATACTCTTAAAAAATCTGTATAATGGGAATCCAGAAATAATTTCCTCGTAATAAGAAAGGAGAATTGTACTTTTACGATGAAAAGAAAATACGGAAAAATCCAGTAGCTTTTTGATAAAAAGCAGAATAAAAATTAATTGTAACGAACACATGATGATATTATAGAGTCGGGATGTTAAGAATTTCCAGCATTAATTTCACTGAATTATTCATCGTTCTCACTGTTCGCGACCCCTGCGAGTAAAATCAAAATTCAGAATTGATTTCACGTGCATGTAAATTAACTCAGTCCTAATTGTTGACCGACATGGAAATATTTATTATCATTCGCTTCGCGATTAATGTCGTCACCGATAACGAGACGAAATTACATGAATAAAATTGTTATCCATACGTTTCACGTGTAAGCAATACCCAATTTTTACTTTTTTAATTAAGTTCTCCTGTGAAACGTGTAATAATATGTTACGCCAGATTAATTGAAAAAGTAAAAACTAATTAATTTATTCAATCATTCACACATTTGCTTTAAATGATTAAATAAATTGAATTTGTACATGCGATCCTTACTAATTCTTTCTTTCGGTAGATCCCTCTTCTGGTTACTCCTGATTTGACAAGTTTTCTTTGAGTTTCACACAATTCTCACGGTTATTATTCCATTTGCGCTTTATTTCCCCTTTCACCCTACTTTCCCGCATGTTTCATTAAAACGAGCTCGCGTTACTTCCGACCTGTCCCTGTTTTCCTCTTTCTGCCTCGTTTTACATACTCCCCGGCTACGGCGTAGGTGCATATAGGGCATACAAAAAGGGAAATTTGTTTTGTCGATTGACGAAACACCGTGGCCACTTTTTCTGGCCGGTCTCACGCTTCTCCATATGCCGGCACGCCCGGTTGACAGCTTCCTGTTCCGAATTTGCACGCGTTTGATATTCGCGCTTGTCACTACGCCCGATTCCCGGGCACTGTTGTCCTTTCAAATTTGACTTCGACACCGTGTCAAATTTCATTTTTTATTTAGTCGTTTTACAAACAACGTTCCTCGAGCGTGTCGCGTAAACTTCATTGTTCCACGCGAAACTTATTTATTTCGTGAAATAAAAAGCTGTTCGAGAAAATTGACCTGTAGCAAGAATTTATTTCACGGTACAATAATTTTTTGCGAAGTACATTGAAGTACCTAATAAATATTCTTTTGCCAAGCAGAGAACTTTATGAACTCGTTACGGTGAGTAATGAAAGTCACTAATTGGAGTCCCTTTGTTACATTTTTCAATTATCTCACTATACAAATTTCAGTTGCTTTATCCAAGGATAGTCTGTCCAATGAGAAAAGTAATTCAAGAATTATTAAATGAGTGAAGCATCTACGTAATATACTATATATATGCAATGCATAATGTAATTGTATCATTATGGACTTCTATCATGTTTCATTAATTTCATTCCTTTTATGCAAAATTTCTATAAAAATGTTCTTGTCTGCACTCCTCGTTACTCCAATTGTATTCATGCCTTCCAATATTTCCTTTATCACAAGAATTCAATTATTTATTTGTAAGAATAGAAAAATCATTGTATCACATTCTGCCTACACAGTCTGCTAGAATTAGACAATCCTAAGTCCTGTCATGAGTTTAAAAGTGTTTCACACTTTCTGACGCAGCTCATTTTTGCCTGATGTGATGCGTCTACCAGGTCTATCGCGACTCTTGATACGAAACCGTATACTGCGCGGTGATAGGGAACCGAGACGGAGAGCTCGGCGATTCAAGGGGCAAAGAGAACCGTGTAACATATGCGTACGTGCTCGGAAATCGTTGCCCGATGATACCGCGATGACTCGATCATCGGGGGATACGCCCCGCGCGTATCGTCGAGCCGACACGCATACACACAACTTCTTTCCGGTGCCGAACCGATCACCTATTATGTATAAATACCGACGACGCACACCTGTTTCAATATGCAACCGGAATCGTATCCTATTCTACTTATAGAGAAACTAGCATCCGAAATTCTCGCGTTGAATATCGTATCTCTATTTGTATTGCAAAAGTCATCGTTACAGAACAGATCTTATATTGAGATAAAATATGATTCCTTACTTTAACTTCGTTGAACCATCTTTTCAAATTCTATATAAATACTAAATACAGAAACTTCAATATGAAATATAAAATTGATCAGAGATAGATACGAAATAAATTGTAAAATGATGGGTCAAGCGTTTAATGTACTCACTCGCCGATGCGTTCGCCGTTCCAGCACCGTTTGTCCGGGTACTCCTCGCATATCGTGTCGGCCAGGGTGCCGTAGAAGGTCCGGGATCTACCGACACTGGCCAAGAAATTGCCCAGCTGCACGTGCAACTGCGTCGGCGACGTCCGATGGTCAGCTGCGTGCGTCACCGGCCCGGGAACGACACCAGACGATGATTTCTCCTGCGTCCCAGCTGCGTCCTCTGCGAAGCTCCACTTCTTACTTTGCTCCTCCGTCTTCTTCTCCTCTTCCACGTCCGACGACGGCCGCAGCTCCGTACGACCGCACACCTTCCTCACCTGCAACACGATCGACGTCGCGTTTTTATTTAACACCGGAACTCTCGACTAATCGAGATGCACGACGCGTGCCGCAACTATCGGATCAACCGTCAAACCATTGTACCCCTGTATTACTCACGATACATCTAGAATTTCATGTTTGCATATCTTTAGTCGGTTTCATTTTGTTCTTTCTTTATAATGACACCAAAATATTTTATTGTTACATTAAATCAATAGGAATTATATTTATTTACTGAAATGAAACTTTGTACGATATATGATAGAGCTTATAGGATTTTACATTTATACGAATTCAGATAATGTAATATTAAAAGAGGATCAGATATAATTAGTATTTATGTATTTTTTTACGTCCACGTTTCTATTCGAACATTTTAGGTGAGTGGCTAGGTAAGACACCTTCTTCTCCCTTCAATTTTCGTCGGTCTTTGCTGAAAATGTAGAACCGAACGTGATCCCTCTCTCTCCCTATAAAGTTTTATCGCGATTGTCCCTGCGACTGGCCTCTTCCGTCGTCGTGACCCGTGGAACGATATTGCCGCGTCCAAGAGGGGCATCTCACGCGAATTGATGTCCTCGTAGACGAGCAGCCCGAGATGACCCCTCGTAATGGTGCTTCGTACTTCGATTACGGCTGAACAAGCCGGGAAGGAAATAGGAAAAGAAGAACGGTTTCCCACTTGTGAAGATTCAAGTGAATTCCATACGGTAAGATCTACCCGTACATTCCGATTGATAAGGAAATGCGCGTATTTGGCTGGTAAAATCTTTCCTTATTGCAGATACCAAGTCGTTTCTTTTTTTTTAATTCCATCTATATATAAAATCAGGAAGATCTGCATTTTTTTTTAAATGCTTACGCGCTTTGTGCACATTTTTCTGTACGTTAAAATACTGCAATTCTTTTTTTTACTGAATATTACAGTATTTTTAACTAAACAAATATCAAGCATAAGCAGTTTGAAGAATAAAATTTTAGGAATGTTATAGCCCGTCTAGACGATGCGGTTTTTTACTGACTCGACTGGCCTCACCGAATCGACAATAACAGAAAGCAGAATCACATCACATATTTCTGTATTCGATGAAACTATCGAACTGGTAAAAACCTACGTCGTTCGAACGGACTGTTAATGTCAGGCTCGGTTCGAATAAAACACGGAGGCCGATAACCGCTGGAATTATAGTGGTAAAAACGTGGATGAAAAAAGGAGCGCCGGCTTTCATAATAGATTGGGCCCGTTCGCGGCTGAAAACGAAACGTATTTATCACGAGTCGCGGCCTCCTGGACGGCGGGCTTCATTTTTCTCAATAAACGGGTGCAAAAATTTCGCATTCGACGATTCGACCGACTGACAACGGCCGTAATTAACTTTTCGCCACGTTCCAACGGGGGAAAAAACCGACCCGTCGATTTTTTTGTATCCTTTATTTTCAGGAAATTGCTCCAGTGCCTCGCACATGTGTCAAGTTCGAAACAGAAATTAAAATTTTAATATATACGGTAATACAAGTTTGTTAATGAAACCGAATATTCTCTGGTGCTTCTTCATTTATTATATTGATACACGTTTAATATTAATGAATAATTCTGAGGAAGGTTCGATTTACCAGGCATATCTGGCGTAATCTCGATGAACTGAACTCTCTTTTAATCATGTCGATTCAGTCAGTCATTTAACCGAACCAAACGTGTATAATGTAACGGAATAAATTCTACGCTCGCGTCACTTTTAAATCGAATTGTATGTAACTACATAAGAATGTAAGTACGTTTGCATACGCGATCGTCATTAAGGCTATCGTTGGTATCTGGCGGCGCGGCGCGCTCATCCACGGTTCTCCTAGTCCTAATTACTTTTTAACGCCGACCATAAAAGGAAGCGAGGCCGGGTTAGCTCGGGAACTGGCATAATCGTAAAATCAGCCACGCCGGGCCCCGGGCGTAATTAAGACGGCACGCGTGGGCGTGCAAACGTCGCTCTCGTCATCTCGCCCGATTTCCTTTTTATCTTCTCTTCTCTCCAACGCCTCCTTTCTCTTCTTTTCCCACCCTCGTCCAGAGAGTCCGTTCTTAATTAATGATCGCTCTCTCCACGGCTCGTAATTTATCAATTTATGTTCGGTAATCGTATTTTGCCTGCTCCACTTTTTTCTGCAATTTTTCTTTACCTCCACTGACCAACTTATGTGAAGGAGTTAAGAAGATACTCGGATGACTCAATTTACAATAGTCAGTGGCAAAAGAAATTATAAAAAACGTCAGACACTGTTTTATATCAAGAATTGAAAAATTAATTATAACATACAATTGATTCTTGATTCTAATATAAAATTAATTCATCCCGCACTTCATTTTACACCGTGCTCCATAAAAAATAGCAATTATCTTAATGAGCGTCGATTCATTGATATCTAAGTGAAATTATCCTAATTAGAGGTACAAGACGTTATCGGGAATTTCGCGATACGCTGTTATCTCCGCGAGGTATCATCTCGCCGAGGTTTGAAAGTGAACACGCTTGTAGAGTACATATTATTATCTGCAGCTGAATCCACGGTATGCTCGTGACATAACGGCGCTTAAAAGTCGCTTAGCTTTTACGTCCAACGTGACGCCGAAGATGATAATTTGAATATGGGATGTATGCAATCTGAACAAACGGAAAAGAACTTACTTTGCCGTGCGCGGATATCGCTTAAGTACTAAACGACGTTTAACCGAGCGTATGCTAATTCGCAATGAAATCTACTTATCTCCATACGTATATCATTCGTAAATTGCGTTAAGAGTAAAGGTGCACCAGTTTTCCTTAACTCGACGTGCAATACGTTCCTCCGAGATGCAGTTAATGCGACTCCGTCCCCGAGTCTTGTATTCCCAATAAGAGTCGCAGTTGTCAAGCAAATCATTAATTGAAGATGAAATACGTTTCGCTAATGTGCATTCATTTAAATGTTGTATCAACGACATGATTAAAATTACGAATCATTAATGCTCGCTCAATTTACTTTATACGTTTCGCAATTTTTATATGAAGTAAAAAGTACTTTTAAAATCCATCAAGTGTCTCGAATGGTTTCATGAAAAAGGGGATCGATCCAATTGGATAATTCGCTTATAGGCTCTAATCGTTCGACGAGAAGAGGGACGATCTCTTTCGCTTTCGCAACGCGTTAGTTTCAGTTAAGTTAAACTGGAGCAAAAAGAATACGCCCAGTCAACTTTTGCAACGTCAATTATTGCAGCAGCGAAACGGCTAAGCGAAGTAATGGCTCGGAGGACGATAAACGGTGACCCGTTTTTCTTTTCCCCCCTTACCTCCTCCGTTTACCTTACATCCTCGCGATTTTTGCCCCGCGAAAATGAGAATCTGTCATCGTTTTGACGTCCATTTCCTTCTCGATATCCTCGGCACGGCTCAGTATCGATAAACGCACGCACGGTTTCTTGTGCAATTTCTGACGTTCCTAGTCATTTGAATACAAAGTTCCAACGTTTGAACTAGTTTTATTCTCGATCCTTTTAATTCTTCCAATTTTCTAAAATTACATTTCGAATGTTTTATTTACCATAAAAATCTATTCACGCAGACTCTTATTATTTTACGAGATATGTCGCTACGTGTTTTACGTCAGTTGAACTGTGTACGACAGCCGCGTCATTCACGAGCGACAGAGAATTAACACGCGCGTTAGTTGGTCAGTCCGAGGCCGACGTTTCGTCCGCATCCCACGCCGCGCGGAGATGATCTTCCGCCTCCACACGGTCTCGTTCGCAATGACCAGGAGGAGTTTCGTTCACCTTCACACGAAGGAAGAAAGAAAGGAGGAGGCGGTGTGCTCGGTTCGAAGCATCGCGTCGTCACCCTTGACCCGGAATATAAACGATAATAACGTATTCCGCTCTACGCCGCGATTCAAACGAGCAAGATTAGATGATTGCCTGATTATTTCGTGATAGCGTATGCATACGTATCCGTGTAATTTGTAACGTACTTGCATAAAGAGGCTTGAAACATTCGAAACTGTTCTACGCCACGAATAAACTGTCCCATGAACGTTCTTATTGATATGGATTTTCGAGAATGCTTTTATCAGTCTGATTTCATCAATGATTGCCTGATTATTTCACGATAATTGTACGTATTTATTATTTTAATATAGACGATATTTGGGACTTGATTTTTTAAGTGTTCTGCACCAGAAATAAAATCTATGATTCTCAATAATTTCTGCAAATAATAAATTGCATTCATTCTCTTCAATATTATTCATTCTCTTCTTGATCAAGTTATAAGATAGGGTAAAATGATGTTCTAAATGCAATTATTAGTTGGCTAAATTTATACGAGGATTAATTGGCTTTTACGAATCGAGAAAGCAGAAACTTGAACCACAGAATCGACACGATGTTATCATTAAAAAGAACAAGAAGTTACATCGAACAGTGGAGTAAATGGCAGTGCGACACGTTTGCACCCAGCTTAAAACGCGTTAAGGATACGAGCACACACGGTTAGTGTGGAAATAATTATTCCCCGTAGTTCTCTCGTTCGCGCGATAATCGCCCCTGGCTGCCACGAAATCAGAACTTTCTCGTTACGTGATTCGCCGACGCGGGAAGAAAAATACAAACTGAACTTCGACTCACGTCGGCACACGATATCTCTCCGAACCCTTCGTGTTCGTGTAGATCGTACAATCCAGTTCATAAGTGTTACTTACAATTAGTAAAGATTCAAGTTCACAGTTCTGTATTAATTGATTGCAAAGATATCTGACAGACATTTTTGTGAATTATGGACGAGGAGCTACTGATTTGAAAGAATATAATAAATTGTCCTTAATAGTTTTGATTCGTAGTTGCAAATATCTTGAAAGATCTCTGGTACATTTTTTAAATGTCTTGCATCTTTCAATTTAGATATAAAATTTATAAGTTCCAAAACCATGTATGAAAATTGTATATCAATTTCTATAATTACCTTAA